TTTTTTCCTCTTTGGTTGGCAACTGTTAGAGGATGCCCGTTTCAGTTGTTGTAACATTAGGTTTTAGTTTAAATTAAGGACGCGCTAGTTCGCAAATAAAATCTAAATAAAGTAAACTTTTATTCAACTAAACCAATAATTAATAAAAAATATTTCTCCCTCTTTCACCCCCTCCAAATTATTGTCAACATATGCATGCTCACTATTCAACCTAACCAATCATAAATACCGCCACAACCACACAACTTCCATCACCTATGCAACCCTGGATCGTATTGTCGCTGCAACAACTAAATTTGCATTGGGTTTCGGCATACTTCGTACTGGCCGACGCACACGCACACGCGAACTGCTCGTTTTGTTCGCCCTCTCTATATCTGACTCTCTCACACACAACCGCACTTTAACTGTTCAACGCTCTGTCTTCACGCTCGTCGTGTTCGAATATCTTACTGTGTTTCGTTGAACACATCCACCACCCCACCGTCAACCCAACCAAATCACCCCTGCTTGCCTACTCGCCTGCCGGCCCGCATTTATCTACCTATGCCACACCTTTACCTCCCTCTCATCATACTTTCGCTCTTTCTCCTCTCTTTCACACTCAATTATGTGAATGAATTCAGGTTTTTCCTAAAGCTCCTAAACTACAGGCAAGCCAAGCGGCGCTTGCGCGCCAAGACACCATTGATGAGGGTGGCGAAATCGATGCCTCCCCTCCGAGTCGCGACACGAGGCACGTCGGCGAAGGTGGCCCTGCAGCGGCAGCAGCAGCGGCTGCACTGGCCGCTAAGGAGCGCAATTTGGCATTGGAGCGCGAGCGTCAAATCGAGATGGCTTCATCCCGCGCCACCACATCCGACACCTACGACACGGGGCTGCGCGAACAACCACCGACGATGGCGCAGCGAGATTTGGTCGCAACTATGTTGGACCTGAAGGTAGACGTGCGTCTGGAGATGCAGCGCATGCAGCAGCGCATAGGACGGATCGAGGACATGCTAGGTGAGTTGATGAAACGTTTGCCGACGCAGGAGTCTTCGGGTCAGACAACGCCAGGCGACGAGCTCGGCCCGGGCGGCGGCGGCGGCGGTAGTGGAGGCGCGGGTGGCGCCGGCAGCACAGTAGGAGGCAGCAGCGGAGTTGGCGCTGGAGGTGGCGCGTTACCTGCCCGCATCGGGGTCGTCGATGGCGGCGGAAGCGGCGGCACACGCTCCACGGCGGTCACGCCGGCTGCAGACACTGTGATAACCATTTCAACGATGCCGCCCACGCCACCCATTAGCACAAGCGCGGCAGGTGTTGGTGGCGGTGGTGGCAGCGCAGGAGGCGTTGGTGTGCCTACAACTACGACGTCCGCGGCTGTGGCAACGGCGGCGGTAGGCACAGGCTCCACGCCCATTCCACAGACCCTCAGTTTACTCAGTCCAGCACAGATGGGGAGCGCGACGGCGGCGTCGACATCCGGCGGCAACGGACTCGGACCGCTGATGCTGAAGAAACGGCGTTCGAAGAGCAGGAAGGCACCAGCGCCTCCCAAGCAGCCATCACATGTGCAGAGTCCAGAACAGCAGCGTTTGCTGGAGGAGGAGCCGATTGTAGCGACAACGACAACGATGGTGGCAGCGGCGACGGCGGCAACAACAACAGCGGCACCTCCTGTTACAACACCAACAACGGCCACATCGAGCAGCGCGGCTACTTCACCCACAACTGCGGAACCGTCTTCGATAGGCGGTGGCGGTAACACCAGCGGCACGTCCAGCGGCAGCGGCAGTGGCGGCGGTGGTGGGCGCAACAAACGCGAGTTTCTCTAGCCCAAAATACTGGTGCGCCATCAATCGGACACGGGCAGCAGCTTCGAACAATAATACAAGAGAGGAGCGAGGAAGCAGACTGCAGCAAACGATGGCGTACAAGAAGGCGGCGGGTTGGGCAGCGGAAAGTGTTACGAGTTCATTTGCCGTTGTTGCTTCTTATTATCAGGTTAAGTTAATAGTTCTAAGTGGAAAAGAAATTTTTTGGCGGTAATATTTTTTTTTTATTTGAAGCTTTCTAAAGCTTGAATTTCAACAGAAAAATTATAAACCCATGCTCTATGCCACGGGAGCATATTTCAAGCGACAAGCAGAGCAAATATTTGTGATAACCAACCAGATATTATGACTATGTAAACATTATTAGAATTACCAAAAACTAAAAAACAAAAGTGTCAATGAGAGGTCACACCAAAAACAAAACCACTTGAAATGCCGCTTAGAAAATTTGTAAATTTCATTGTAAATATATACTACAAAGCGAGGAAAAGCTGCTCGCTCATTAAAGCTGTGTAGATATATAATATTCGTAGATAGTTAAGTACTTGTCTGTATGTGTGCGTGCGGAGGTCGAACCAAAGGCGCGCAAATACCCCTAGTACACAGCACACCGACAACGTGACCTACGACTAAGTTATAGTTGAATAACATATAATATAGATGTCAATAAGTACTTAGCTTGCTGAATACCTTAGCCTTTTGGAGGAATTGAAACCCACTGATTTGCGACCCACAGATTTTCGATGATTTACCAAGAATAGAGAGCGCACGCTGCTATAGTTTAAGAAATTTACAAAAAAATGCAGGCTTTTTAAAATTAATTGACTCAATCATCCAGTAGAAAATATACCCAGACACCACTTGCAGACCAAAATATTTTTATTGGATATAATTTGCATCGGGAGCAACAGTTATTAAAACCCTGAGTCAGGATTACTTTCCTGAATTGAATAGTCGATATTCGCAGATTTCTATACTCATATCCAACACTCGACTAAGTCTCTTAACCTAGAAGAATGCATTTTTTACTGCTTAATACTTTAACAGAATGTTTCTTAGCTCGTTTGAGAATTCCCTGATGACATTACGCTCGGTCGCTATAGCATTTTATATAGCATATTTTTGGGCGCAGGTTTAACTCAATTAGCAATTGAGCCATGCTGAGTGAGCGATCATCTCGCTCAAACGCAAAAATTTTTTATAATTGCGTTGACATCAAATACACACACGCCACACATTCTCTTATGGAACACGCATTTGTGTTTTAAAAACTAAGATTTGGCTACTACGGACATCACCGACAGCCCAATATGGATGACGATACACAGTCTAGCTCGCCTGAAGTTGAGTAGACTAGGAAGGTCAATTTAAAGACCAGATATAGTGAAGATGGATCAGCCACATTCTCTGTACCGCAACAATTTTCACAGATTAATTAAAAATAAAGGAACTTTACCTCACGTTCCTCATTCCGGTTATAGAAACCTCTTATTCAAGTCTTAGGCTAAAGTAAAGTATGTTAAAGTGCTTGGGTTTCCATACACAAATCCATCCATCCGTTTCCATGGCCTCAGTTCTCGCTATTAAATTAATATCGGACTCCAAAATTACTCAAATAGATCAAAACTAAAAGCATTTTCTTAGGCCTTTAAGGTAGTATTTTAAAAATTTCCTTAGCGTCATTGGTGAGCGTCCGTTTTCAAAAGATAAAATTTTGTTAATATTTCCTTCATCCATTGTACGTGTCTGCAATTCTCCACAGGCTCATAAAGTATTTTACTTAATGGTGTGCTCGTTGAAGCTCTTAAGCGCAAATATTGTAAATAGGAGGAACTCTCCGAAGTCCCAACTAGCTCTCTACCCGTCCATCAATCGATTTACGTTTCTCCTAAACCCAAACATCTAGTCAGAACTTATAACTGAGAACAAAAACCAATTTCAATGCACCATTCGACTCCCCAGTTTTCGTAGACCCGGCGTTTTCTAACTCAATGCACTTCTATCAAACAGCTTCTGGCGCATGTTTTTTTCAAAGCTGAACTTGAAAACCGTAAAAGAAGTTTGCGTAATTAACTGCCACACACAAGAAAAAAGCAAAAAAAAAAAACACTTTACGGAACATAAAATTCTAGCCATAACACAGCAATGTAAATGATGCGAATAAAAATGCAACTCTGCAAAATAATTTTCATTTAGAACCCGTCCTAAAAATGGAGAAATACACAGCAACAAAATAAGAAAAGATGTATAAAAACAAAAAGTTTCAAACAAACGAAGAAAACAGTACTGATTATAAACTAAAAAAAAATACCAAAAATAATTCTTAGCAATTATTTATAAAAAAATAAGTGAAGAAAAATAAGCAAACTAAAATAAAATAACTACAACAAAAGTAAGCAATAAATGCAAAAACAATGCTCCATTAAAACTATTTAAGTAGCTTAAAGTTAACGAGTATAAAAAACAGAAAAAGAAGTCTAGCATTAATATATTTACAATAAGTGGCATACAAATTTAAGTTCTACACCGGAAGCAAGAATAAAAAAAAAAACAAAAACAAACAATAAGAACAACTACAACACTAAAATGTTCAACACAAAGAATAACAACAACAACCAAACGACAATCGAACTACAAAGCAGAAATGAAATAAAATAATTTTTCTTTCATTGTAAATATCTCCAAAAGGTGGCAGCACGCCACTTGCTGTATATGTAAATTTAAAGCACCACACATACATGCACATGTACAGTCGCGTCTGGAATAACACACCAGCACCCTAAAGTACAGTCATGTGCATTAAAAATGCAACCATGTCGCAGAGCATTTTTTTTTTTGTTAGATAAGTTAGAGTTTAATAGGATTACTTGGGTAGTAAAAAATTTAGCTTAGCATTACACAGATTACTTAAAGTAGTTAAACGGCATTACCACACTTGTGATATTGATTAGTTGGAGATAAAGTTGTATGCGTTAGAGTAGCGAATACTAGAAAAAATGGAAATTGTTAGGAATTTTTGAGATTATTTATTTACTAAACATTTGAAAAAGCGAGAGCTCATCCTTCTAAATCTGTAG